CGTCCGTGTCCTTTGAATCTCTTTGGCTTATAGGGGTGTCGAGAGCGAGGTCATTTGGAAGCGATGACTCCTGATCTAAATATTTCGGTGTATGTCGTTGGGTCGAGGGCCCTGAGCAAAACTTGCCTTCTGATAGTTAGAACATCGAAGGGTCTCTAACGGCCATGATATGCAGGCATTGCGTTTCTGAGGATATCCAAATGACTGGTTACCCAACTGATAAAAGGGGTGGCGGCTTGAGTGGTATCGGGGAAGAGCACATTTGTACCATCGAATACATCGCGGATAGTAAGGTGCTAGTTAAAGAGAGCGCTAGTTAGCAGTGGACAATATCTTGTACTAGATGATAGAGCAACTTACCGATATCCTTTGCTACACCCTGGTAAGGGGCGTTTCTAAGATCACTCCGCTTCCCGAAGTTCTTGAACCACAATACAAGCTTCGGGAATCGGCGAATCTACCATTGGGAGCCACTGGGAGAAAATATATCATCATTTCTTTGATCTCAAATGCATCGCAGGATGGCTTAGCGGCCTGACGGTGAAGCTGCCCTCTAGATCTCCAGGCTCCATACGGAGCGAGTGGCCTGCCAGTATTAGTACTCTACAGCAGTAAGGCAGTTTGCATGCGAGAGATTGCGTTATGATAATATTGCTTCGATGATAATCGCAAGGAATTGTATGCATCTCGCCTGCAATGACCTGTAGCCCCGTCCTGGAGATTTGGCTCGCTCGAGGATAGCTCATATTCATCATCAGAGGTGGTATATTGCCTACCAACTTTTGGTTGAGTGGGGCATTGCAAGTTATTCCTCCATGAATATCTCGATCCCCTTGATGTAGGGCTTCTTTACGGGGGTGCAACGAGTACACGGCTCTTCCCTTTTCTGTAGGCTTAAAATCGTCGTCTTTTCTGGTGGCAACTGAAAAAGTAGTTATATACCCCTTGGTGTCATATACTTTCCCCTAAATGATTATATGGGAGAGCCACAGTGGGATATAAATGTGCAACAGGTTGGCTTAGACATACGGCACAGGGGAGAGAGGGCCTGGTGGTCACGTCTTTTGCCTCCAACCAGTGCTCGGATGAAGACATAGTTAACGCTGCCCAAACGAACCCATTATTTTAAATGTAAAATCACTTCAGAAGACATTGAACGAGGTGGAACCACCGGCCACTAGCTGCCATACCTATCGTTCTTCTCGCGGACTTGCGTTCATACCATAAAAATATGTAAAGGGTTGAGTCGATGGTTGGAGTAGTGGTAAGGAAGAGAAGGAGACAGAGGAAGAGGGAAGAAGATGCTGGGAATTTATAGGCCACCCGGGGAACTAACTATGCTGCCAGAGTGAATACATTCCCGCAGTGAATTAGCCGGAGATGAAGCCATGTCATCAACGAAAGGAGGCATGCAGGTCTCGCTGCTAGTATCCCGCATACAACCATAGCAAACAAGCCATTCAATCAAAGGAGTGACTGGAAGTGCGTCACTTTAGTTACTTAGACCGGCTCCTTAAATGTACACCTTAGACATGCTCCTTGGGGTAGTTATGCTCTTTGTTTAGTTACGTAACACAAAATGGAGATACCAACTCCCCCCTATGCTGCTATCATATAGTGTATAGTATGTTGGGTTTCATTAGTCAATTGTTTTCATTAGTAAATTATATAGGAAGTCGCTTGAGAAATTACAATATTACCTTCGTCAACTTTACCTTGGATGCAGTCAAATAGTGTTATGTTTGGTGACTTGTGAGTTTGAGCCATATATATAGTTACTGATCCTGTTCACCTAGGGTATTGATTACTTTTTTTAGTGTCCTTCAAAACGGGGGAGGTGGTTAATGGGGATTCTGTGTATAATGATATATTTTTAATAAACTTGTAAAGGACTTTTACGTATCTCATGTCAGGGGGCAACGACTGTTACCCCATATTGGAGCGTCTTCTGCTCACATAGTTTCAGTATGCTCGGGATACTTTTTCTGCCATTTTTCTCGAGGCAGACACTCGCTCTTCTCTAATAAAAAAGAAGTAATTTTGGCACTTAATGCTAGTATACGTCAGTTGCTGCTTTCTGTAAATAGTATAATTGTCTACAACTTACCCTCCACGGACATTGGCTCCCTTGGCTGTAGGGAGTAGTGGTCTTTAAACTCGTGTACCAGGAGTAGATCTTCTGGTAATGCAGTTCCTACATATATTGGGTATTGGCTAGCATTCTCAATAAAATCGAATATATAACTTGCCTTGTGGAACACAGTATACTCGGACACGATGCCCCCTGAATGTGGCGACAAGATCTTGAAGCGTTTCTGTGTTAGGGCGCATAGAAGCGCCATTTGGACCTGATTCAGTTAGAGACAAAGTTCCCCCAACGCATCATGCATGAGTGTACACACCGGTGTACGTCGCAGGATCGAGGGCCTTGGGTATAACTTCTCCTTTGACAGTAAGAACATCGAAACGTGTCCCAAATGGCGGCGGCACGGGCCCAGGATACGCACGTAAGCGTATAGATTTTCCGTTATTGACACGGAAGATTTCTTTGGGGAAAAATTTCCAAGTGCGGATTAATCCAGACATGATGGAGGCTCCAATTAATTTTAAGTAAATGTGACTAGTAACTGAACGACGCGGAATGCAACTTATTGAGACATGAGTCTCCATTGATATAGGACCGGATTCATAGATCTTCAAGGAAAGTGCATTTGATATTCTGCGCATCTATTGTTACAGCAAGAGCAACGGACCCAGGTACCTCAGTAGTTGCTAGATCTTGATATCACCGACCGTCAAAACTCATATACCCGTGATATTTCCGAGTCTGGCAGATATGGAGATAAAAAACAATTCCCTCTTTCCATATTGAATTAGTTATGGTATCTTGCGGGTTATATTGGAGTTGTATATTTGCCGTAAAGACCGCCCCGTTTGATACTACCCACACTAAGTAGCATACGAAGGGAATAAGAGGACACGTAGGAGATGCCATACAGATATTGGTGATCCCGGGGTATACCAGCCCGTCCTTGGAGATGTCCACGCCGTCTTCATACTCAAAGGTCTTCGTTTCCCTTCTTTAGCTCCTTATCATAGAGCCGGGAGTCACGGTGAATTAAGAATCTAGGAAAGGTATCATGGATGGAGGTGACGGTAAGACGACGCCGGGCATTGGAGACGGGTTTACATTAGAGGGCGGTGCAGAGCAGATTTCAATATCCTTGATGGCAGTAATTAACTAGTTACCCAATAAAGCCAAACCCATCCAGCGCTGGTTTACTACCCTAACTAGTTAGTTGGGTAGGAGATAACTAACCATTGGCTAACTAGTTAGTTAAGCGAAGCTAGCCGCGAGATGGAAAGCTAGTTAGTTACCGAGGAGCAAGCATCAGCATCATTTCCTACCCACTTCGCTAGAAGAACCCAGCGCCTGCATAACCATTAGTTATTGCTAACTACAACAACAACCATGTCGAGATTCATAAAGTCCTACAGCATAATACCAAAGGATCTCTTCCGCATAAACAACGGCCGTGTTGTTCGTTTGCGGGCTTATCCTGGCCCTCGACGGCCTCCTGGGCTGTTTGACCTCCTGACGCACAACGGAATGGTGCAGCCAAAGGCACTCAACCCGGCCACTTATCAGCGTAAGAAAACCAATCGCCCTGCACAAATGATATAAACACCAGTATAAGGCTAATTAATGTCTGTTTTGATGAGATTAGCACCGAACGGGGCTTCAATGCGGCCAAATACTCCAAAAATGCAGCAGAATGCAGCCAGCCTCAGGGGGAGTTCGGCGTGTATTTACACGTTGGATGCAGGTTAGTACCCAAATACGTCAATTTGGCTCAATGTCAAGTCTGACGATATGCTCAGGCTTTCGAGTACCGGACGACCTTATACTGGTCCATGAGTTCAAAGATCATTACTCCCTGCAGGCCAGGAACATCATGACGGTAGAAGGTAAGCCAGACACTGAATCCATCAATTACGGCTTGACTAACTGTCTAGATCTCAATGCCAAAATCACTCGTTTCCTCGAGGGCAGCGGTCGGTGTCTGTCAAAGGACGAGTGGCTTCGAGAGTACCCAGAAGCCACGGAAACAGAGTAACGAGCCGGAGATCACAGCTGTTGATGGTGGGTTTTGTAAGAGGATCGAGGCGATGGAGAAAAGGGGCTCACACCCGTAGGGTTATGGCCCAGAGACATTCCATATCTATGTGAATAATGATATCCATAGTGATGGGAGGCTCATGCGGAACTCGAAGGAGTGGCTTTTGCAAGGCGTAGGAGGCTAATTGGGGTATTCTTTTTGCTCGCAGGATCAGTAGTCAATGGGACAAGCTGAAGATAACCCGAAATCTTCGTCATTGACATAATAAATCCTATCAGATCAGCTTCACTTCCGCCATCACTGGTAACTGCATCAGACCTCCTACGATGTAAAGATGCCTGGCTTGGGCGTTGAAACGGATAGACGGTGTATAAATATACTCAGGGCGACAGTCATAGTCTGCTCACCATCAAGTATGGCCTGAAAGTCGACCAAGTCCTAGAATGGGAGGTTGCTACGCCCAAGGGAGACCTTGTAACTGCATCTCCATCCCAGAATCAGTACCTAACTGGCAGTTGGCCTGCTATCGATCCCAGTACTGGGAACTTCTCAGCATAGGGAGGGTGGAAATATGACCCTTCGAATATACTTAGGGCCGTGCGACTGTTGGTAGTGAAGCCTGGGCTGAGCTTGACGATAAACGTCTTTACAAAGTGTGAGGATCCATTGAATGAATGTCCTGTGCTGTAGAAGAGCACTGTGGTATAGTTTGAAATGACGCTAAATCTTCGCCAGATAATAGTTAATGAGTTTATGGCTTATCTCTCCAAATAATTATTATTCTTCACAATATCTGACTCAATCTAGGGGTATCTAGCAAGGCCCAAATAATCCAACATAACAAAATCCAAAAGGTGTAATCATCACATCGTATTGTCATTAATTCTTCGTGCGCAGCACTTCAAGGGCAAGATCCGCTGCTTTCGCCCTGGCCTGGTTTTGACTTACGCCATCGTCAACTCGAGATATCTCCTCATCCCCTACCAGGACCTGACACTTCCATTGTGTAACCCCGGGTTTCACGTGAACCTCTGACACAACGTACTGCACACTGAGGGACTGAGCCACTACGCCGAGACGTTGTTTCGGATGCATAAAGTCAATACCATCATCTTCGAGAACACGCTGGAGATAGTCCATCAGACCAATGCGTGTAAGAAACTTTTGACATGCTAGTATCGAGCCGCGTGAGTCAATGAATATTGCGCCCAGGATACTCTCGATAATATCCGAAAAGAACTTGGGTGCATTGAGCGTCGAAAGTAAAGTCCAGGGGTATCTAGCACCTGACCGCAACGCATTTTCTATCTGGTCTCGTAACTCCTCAAAAGTGCGGGCCATGGCCTGCTGGGTCTCAACGATATCCGTACTTGAATGCGACATATACTGCCACAGGGACACTTGGCGGGTAGACGAGGTGACTTCTACCTCCCCGGTTGGAGACACACAGACATCTTCCCGCGTTTCGTCTGTGGACGTGTTCATGCATAGGAAAGCAAGGAAGTCGGCGTTGACCAATGCAGTGCGTATCAGGTGCATATCTTGATGAGGAATCTCTCTTTTGCAGCGGAACAGTGCCCTCGTAACGATGTTGTCCAGAATCGAATCTCCGAGGAACTCGAGCCTCTGATACGTCATCCCACTAATTGGATTGCTGGGATGCGACAGGGAGGCGGCCAGGAGGGCCTTTTTCGTAAACGAGTAATCGATCAGGGGTTCTATCTTCGACAGAATATCGCGGGGGCAATCGTCGTTGAAGTCCGGTGCGGAGTCGTAGAGAATTTCAATGCGCTCCCCAGACGGTAGCCAGTTGATTTCGGGGAGAAATAGCTCTAGGCAACGTAGCACTTTGTTCTCTCCCCCATCGATAATGGCGACCCCAATTAATGATTCCACAACATCTGCAAGGGTCTTTGTAGACAATTTCCGGGTGGATTTCTCTCCAATTTTCCCCGCATTGTTCGTGTACGTGCTGTTGTATAGCGGTCGCCATTTTGCACCCGTGAAGCACGTAGTAAGGATAAACTGGTCCAGTCCCGTGTCTACCGCAGCTTTCCAAAGTCGAGAGTTGGATACGATGGAGTCCTTCTTTTTCGACAATATCCCCTCATGCCAGAGTGGATGCTCTGCCAAAAGCTGCATAGATGCATGCAGCTTCAAAGCACTGTCTCCAAGAAATTCCAGGCGTTGATAGTTGGTATCCTCCCTTGCTGAGGTGGCAGTGATTGCGGTCAGCACTAGCTGAATATTCTGGAATCCTATGGGCGACAGTATAGTTTTTGAGAGTTCCTCGGCCAGCAAGTAGCGCCCAATTGTGTGTATCAGGGATGGGATGAAGAGTGCAAATTTTGCGAACCCGACAGGTAACATGGATATACAGCTTTGTCTAGCTGGAATACAGTTCCTCGCAGTGTGATGTGGTTTAGAGCCAGTCGAGTTGGCGACGGGATGCAAGAAATCAGCCCTCTTCGGCCACTTTTCTCCTTCGACATGCAGTATCTCTCCCTCTTCCTCTTCGTCCTCTACAGACTCACTGTCATCTTCTTCTCTGACGCGTTTCATCCATACAAATCTTTCTGCTACCCATGCCCTAGCATAGATATCAGTTCGCCTTGCAAGGCCAAAATCTCCAATCGACCCCAAGCCGCCGCTCTCAATGTCCCGTCCCAAAATGGACTTATTGACTTTAGTGCACCATGATTCATGCCCTCCATGCCCTCTGGCAAGTTCGGGGACAAATATGCAAGAGAAATCACGAGAAGTTCCGTTCATTCTAGATGGGAACACAGAGGATAGAAGGATATGTGTAGCTAGTGGGGCTGAGACAATATCCTCGTCCGACACGGTCAATTCTTGCGGTGAAACTGACGCTGAAAGAGTGCTTGTCTCGTTCCAGAATAGCTTAACAGTAAAATCGCATGGGAGGGGTATTGGTAGAATTAGTATCATTTTTGGTAGCTCCTCCGTTCCAGAGGAAATGACGATACTGCTCTGATAGAAGGTATCTGTACTGTGCCATCGATCAGCAACCATTTTCCAGGGGTTGAACACCTCGGAGCACGTTGTCATGCTAGAACGTTTTTCAATATGTGCTGTTTCTTCGTCGGTGGTACGGCAGTGTTCAGGCATCAAGTGGTCGTTAACCAGACTGGCCTTGTAAAGCTGCAGGTATGCTTGAAATGCGGCATCTCTTTTGGCCATTTTCTCTCTTTTCCATGCTTGAATTCCCTCAAATTCACGAAATTGGAGATCTAGAACTGTGGGGAGCAATACTTTGGCGGTTAGCATGTCTTTAATTCCGGTCTTAGAGATGATGAAGTCCGGCTGAGTATCTGTGAATTCACAAGGTATTGTTGAGCAGAAGTGGGAAAGGTGCGCGCGAGCATTCTCGAGGGTTAATAACGCCCTGACAGTATAATAAATAGTCAGCAAGCAATCCCACAAAAGCAGCCCAGGGGTAACACCGTACCCGGTTGATTCTATTCTAAGGCTTTCATATTCGACTTCCTCTTCATCATCCTCTTCCCGGAGCCTGTCTATAAACTCCTTGTTGCTTAAATACCTTTCTTTCATGATATCCTCCATAGCTTCCCAGTCCTTGTATGTCGCAGTATCATCTTCGGCATAAAATATAACAAATTTCGAGCTCTTCTTTCTTGCTCTACCCCGTCTTTGAACAAAGGAGCGTAGCTGTTTCGGGGGATCAAAGCATACAACAAGGTCGCATGCGGAAACATCTATGCCTTCTTCAAGGACAGAGGTAGCAACAAGTAAGTTCTTTTTGCCAGATTTCAAGTCATCTATGGAATTCTTCATGTCTCCTGGCTTGCTGAGCTCAGTAAGATCTGCCTTCCTGGCAGAAAAGGCAGAGTTCCCTAGGAAATAATCTGACTTTATGTGTGCAAGCTCTGGGTAACGGGAGATTAGATGGGAGAGCATAACCGCCGTTGCCCTTTGCTCAACGAAGATTATGCCCCTTGAAGAACCTGTAAGTTCTGATGACAAAAGGTCTACCAGATGTTCAACCTTTTGTGAAACCGCATCAGGGGTTGAATTCCAGCATCTTTCACCCATGATCGCAACCACAGGCTCCAATGCATTGCACATGAAGGAGGAGTCATCTCTATCCCATTCAGACCAACTATGGTCAACGAGCTTGGCCCTTTCCTCGCGGGTCCGTCGGTATATCTCAGAGATAAACGCCGACGATGCCCAGTGTCCAAGCTCGCCGTACATATGGCTAACCTTAGTGAAGCATCGCTTCAGCTGATCAAGGCCAGGGGTTTTCCGGGCAAGAGCACGCAGGAACCTCTCTGTGCTTTTGCTGTCTGTTTTCCCTTTATACCTCTGAAAAAACGGGTCGCTCTCGATGTCTATGTCATCCAGCATATGCAGAAATTTCACTTTCATATTGTGAGGTATTATCGAGTCTTTCTGGTACGAAATTTTTCGTAGTTCTGGTATATGCACATATTGCATCATCTCTTCCCGGTGAATAGCTGGTGTTTTACAGAAAGCATCGAGATTTTGCTCCAGTTGTCTACTTTCCATGAGCAAACTGCATTCACACTGGCGACTATAAGAATAATAGCCAAGTACTTACCTCAGAGAATCTTCGATTAATTTAGAAGTGGGGCTGGCAGTAAGGCCGAGAATGGACGGGAGATCATTTGTCTCACTGAGCTGGTCTATACGGGCATGGTAGAAATTTCTCATTATCTTGTTTTCTGGCGAGGCCTTGACGCAATGGTGTGCTGCTCAAAAAGTTAGCAAGGCGTGAAAGAAATAGACAGGGTGGTATAATTTAAGTAATTACCTTCATCAAAAACAAGCAATGCTATTCGCCGTAAGGTAATGAAGCCATTGGACAGCACATCTAGAAGAATCTGGGGTGTTGATACCACAATTCGGGTATTTAGCAGAAAAGCATCCCAAATCTGCTGTGTGGACCAGCGTTCTAAGTTGTCTGCTCCGGTCAGGATCTTCGTCTGATAGGCAGGGAGCTGTTCGGAAATGGCCCTGTACTGTTGCTCTGCAAGGGGTACTCTTGGAGCCAGAAACCATACGAGCTATACACCCGTTAATATATTGTGGTGCCTGCTGGTTAATTGTTGACGAGACTTCATACCTTGTCATTTGAACACCTTTCTAGTTCGTGTCTAATGCGAAGAATAGCACTGTATATATGACCAGTTGTATTAGAAGGTGCTTGATCATTCAATTGATCGTATCTCAACGTTTTCAAGCATGTATATAACTAGTTCACTGACATTTGAGTCTTTCCACTGCCAGTGTCCATCTAGTTGCGGTATTAGAAGCCTTTTAATCCATATAGGAAGCAAACAGATGCATAAAACTAACCGCGACTATTATATTCTGTTTTATGCTCGCCTCCAGCATCTCTCTTTGATATCCTCTTGGTCTGATCGAACCTAGAGCATCCTCCAGGCCCTCAAGGCTCGCTTTCCGCGCTGCTTCATTTTGAGGCATACCGTTTGAGCCAGAACTTGACCTAGGCCGTTTCCTCCCCCGCTTATGCTCCTCTAGGGCAAGCATCTGGCCAGGAAGTTCTGGCTTCGCGGCGGCCATGCAGCGTTGTTGTCGGCGTCTTCGGTTCGGTGGTTGTAGTCAAAAGATGTTCTCCTTGGTGGGTCTTGATTGACGTTGCAGTTGGTGAACTAGCTTAGCTAGCTGGCTGGCTGGAGAGGGAGAGAGGAAGAAACACCAGGATAGAAAAGCCACGGGGCGGCGGTGCGATGAAGAGGAAGAGTCTCGCCTACGAAGATGAACGGTCTTTTAAATACTTAGACGCCAATGGAATTCTCCGGCGCTTTTTTTGGCCATGCATGAGCGCGAAGAAACCCCGCGTTGCGTGCATAAACATATGAAAGAAACTAGAACAGGGAGAACAGGGCATACGAAGAGTGTCACCATGGCTCAGGAGCTGTCATTACTGATATTATGGTAAAAATTGTAGTCTATCATAGGTTGGTCAGGTAGTCTTCGATCTCCTCCTTGCTGAGCTTTCTGAACCGAGGGCCTCGGGCTCCCTCAACGCCTTCATACCCGAGCAGATGGTGTGCTGGAGGTCCGACAATACCTGCAATACATGGGTTAGCTCAAAAGCCTTTTTATAATGGGTAGGAAGGTCAGTCCTGTAGAATGAACTACTGACCAATCTCAATGGTATCACCGTTCATTTCACCTTCGATCGTCTCCTTTAGGGTCAGGAGAGCGATGTGTACGGCGTCCTCCAATTCTAGACCTTCAGTATATCTCTTCTCGAGGAAGGTCTTTGCACTTGTGGAGCTCTTCCCGATGGCCGTGGCCTTCCATGGGAAATAACTTCCACTGGGGTCGACCTGGTACAAGCTCGGCCCTCCCTTCAAAATGCCTCCTGTCTTGCCGGACGCCTTCTTCTTCTCAGCATCCGTCTCTCCCTCCTTGGCTTCTGCGGTCTCAGGCTCGATACCGTCATCCCAGCCAGCAATGAGCAAGCTCACGCCGTACGGCCGGACACCACCAGACTGGGTAGCTTCCTGTACAACTCGAGCAACGTCTTGTACAAGTATTCTGGTGGGAGGGTATTCGTTGTAGATGCGCTTGTAGTTTGTGTGGGAGGTCTTGCGGGCCTTGTCGACGAGCACGCGGTAGTCCGGGCCCATTCCAGAGTAGACCATGCCTATATCCGGGGTGATCAGGGAGACTTTGGAGAGCGAGGGGGGATCGACAAGAGGACTCGTAGACTTCTTCTCTGTAGCTAGGACCACTCCATTCGTAGCTATGGGAGGCAACACAGCATCAGTAAACCGGTCGACATCAGAGAGGGTTACCTGGTGGCTCGCCCTAACCTTTGATTCCAAGGGCAGTTACACCCTGGTTGACAGCGTTCAGAGCATATTCTACACCACCCAAGTTAGCTTGCTACTGTCTCCTGCCGGCCGCGGCTCAGCTGCCCTACCGATCTGAACTAGTTTCCCGCTGTGTCAAAGGTCAGCTTCCAAGCTCACATCCCGCAGCATCGCGGCGCAGTGGAGAGAAACACAGTACCTGGGGGAGAAGGTCGTCAGCGAGAACGAGTAGCGGTCGGCCATGGCCAAAGGGCGGAATCGAGACGGCGAGCTTGAAACGCGAAAGGCACGGTCTGGCGGTAGCTGTCGGTGTCTGCGGCTGTCCCTCTCGAAGCTCTGCGGCGGCCGTTCGTCAAGCTGTTTTGTCTACTTCACGGCGTCGTTCTCGTTGCTTGCTGGCGTTTCTTTTGGTTCCCAGCGAGGAATCGCAAGGCAGATGTTGACGCGGCGCCGCAAACGGCAAGATTAGCCGCCCGGCTAAACCTGCACTTCCGGGCGATCGGGCCAGCTTTCGCTTTTCTTTCTTTTCTTTTCGACGACGAAGAGAATAAAAACATCCCACAGTCAACAAACAATTACCAGAAGACGACAGACGACAGACCACAGACGACGCCGTTGCTGCTGCTCTGCCGGCTCCAGGACGATGCTACGCTCCTTGACCGGATGGCTGACAACGGACGTGCATGTTGAAGCTGGCTGAAAAGGAAGCTTGTCTGCATCACTACAAGATAACTACAGTACTACTAGGTGGCCATGGACTCGGCTCCGTCATGGCAGTGGCCTGAAGCTGCCAGCACCGCTGATTCGAGGGCAGGAGGCAGTGCAGAGCCTGAGAGGGAGGAGACAGGCGGCCAGCCTGCGCCGGAACCCAAGAGATACCCTCACCGGACGTGCCGGATCTGTCTCGAGAGCGTGCCTCCAACCACGCATCTGCCCTCAGATAGCTTCCCAAGCTTCCTGCAATCGAAGATCAGAGTGACATACGAATCCTCGGACCCTGAGCTGGGTCGCCTGCTTCGGCCCTGCAAGTGCAAGGGCTCGTCGCGGTACGTTCACGAGGGCTGCCTGAAGCTCTGGAGGAATGCCGACCCCGCATACGGGAGACGGAACTACTGGCAGTGTCCGACTTGCGGGTTTGAATACAGGCTGGAGCGGATGACATGGGCAAAATGGATCAACAGTCAGGTTGCTCAATTGACGCTTACAGTGGGAATCCTGCTCTTCACTATTTTTCTGCTCGGGTTTGTGGCAGACCCGATTATCAATATATACCTAGATCCTCTTGATACCATCACTGGTGACTTGTGGGACGATGGCACTGATGGACTGGGAGCTATGGACGCGAGATCGACCTGGTTTGAGCATCTTATGAAGGGCCTTGCATCGCTTGGAGTGCTCTCTTTTCTGAAAGTAGTGCTCGCTGCCTCGCCGTGGCAGTGGTGGAATCTACGCAACTCTGGACTTCTTGGCGGGTCAGGCCGGAGATCAGCTAACACCGGGAGGAGCAGGGCTGCATCAGTGAGCTGGATAGTGCTTGCTATCGGCGTAGCTACATTTCTCTGGGTATGTATTTCTCCCTATCCAGATGCATTGTCTCACGCACTAACACAAGCAATCAAAAAAAAAAAAAACAGGGCGTGTATAAAGGTGTCCGTGCTTGGAGTTGCAGAGTACTTGAAACTGCTGGACAGCGAGTCATGGATGTACCGCTAGACGATGATGATGAGGATGATGCCGAGGACGAGGATGGACGCGAAGAGCGAGCATCCTCTGCAAGTCGTCGGGCTCGATCTAGGAAAAATGACTAATACTGGTTTAATACGACCAACCCTTGTCTCTGATCTAATACACTCTCCTCCAGCCTCCACAACCGCACTACTTTAAATTGTCATGTCCTCACAATGACGTGCCAATTAGTCTTGTTGCGAAGATCCGATAAACTCTTCACTATCCATCGCCCTCCCTGTTGCTGCGTGCAAGCTCCGGCCTCTAGCAAACGTTTTGTTTCTATTTGCCACTATGGAGCCTCACCGGCTTACGGTGTTGGCTTTGGGAAGATTTGACCACTTGCCTCGACTTTGTTGAACTCGCTCTTGGGAACTGTTCCGTGGGCATTCCTCTGGATATTTCTTTCATGGGGGGCTGAATGCCCATCGCTAGCTGTGTTCGCTCGAGATGTGGTACATCCTATTTATACCGCTTTTTATACCACTTTTATACCATTTATCCCACTAGATTTCCCCAGGATAGGAAATGGATCGTACATTCCTCTATTGCATCTACTACTAAGCTAATATGAGGCCCAACTTTCGAATCTAGGGTTCATCTCCCTGGGTTCTGGGGGCGGATTAAAATATATATGACCGTCAAATCTGATCGCTATATATCTATGGAATCTTATATTATGAGGTAGACGAGCAAGCGTGACTCTGGAATCTGGAACCACTCAACGGACCCAAGGTCTTCGGTATCCCGGTTCAACCCTTGAGCGCAGCCAGGAGCCATGGACCCGGATTCCCGAGCTGGCCAAGCACCGTTCTTCGAGGTGCACCTTTTCTTTTTCTTGTATCTATATATATAGGACTCCTCATAGTCTTTGACTGCATAGGAGTATAATGAAGAATAATAATAATAATCGAGGTGCACCGATACGGATCGCGGAACCACCACTTTGGCAAGCGACATCTGGTTCTGAGGAACCACCAACTAGAAATGCGCTTACTTGGAGTGAGTCTTAAAGCCCCTTCTGAGTATAAGTCTTCTGTGTTAACCCCTCAACCGCAGTCGAACAAGGGACCTACAGCTACCGCACCCCTAGCTACTAATATACCTCCCTCTCAAAGAAAACTCTATATTAGTATCCCAAAGAACCAGAAGTCTCTAAAAGGTTACGAAATTATAGAAATGCTATTAATTCAGCCTTTTCTATCCCATCGAAATCAAATACAGCTGAAGTTACAACTCTGTTTAGCCGTTTGCTCGTCCTGATATCGCAGTAACCTTTAACTCAACCAGACGAACCGGAAAGGCCATGATATTCTCAAACCAGCCTAGGGGGACGCGATGGTAGCGAATCGGGAGCCACGCAGACCTTTATTCGAAATTCCAGAAACGCCATCTCGGGATCCGCAAACGCCTGCAGGATGCACCGATGCGGATTGCGGAATCAGCCAGAGTCACGCTTGCCGTCATAACAAGAGTCAGACTTATCACACGTTCATGGTACCTAAAGACCACTTGGGTTGCTACATTAGCATTGGGACTTATGATACTACATGTTGTAATGGTGAACCTGCTCCGCTCTCTTTTTGACCCGGATACCTTCTCTATGAAGGCCTGTGTGGTCAAACGGCGTTCTGGCGAAGTGAGATCAGAAAAATACGGACCGAAAGAGGCTGAAAGCGGTGCTGTATATCTGTCAAAATGACAGCAGAAGAGGCGAATATGATTGGTTAAACGTTGAATTGAGCGAATATACGTAGGTGTAAGGTGTTCTTAACGACAGCAACCGATTTGACACGCTCGAGCCGTGTAAGGGAGTTGTCTTGACTGGCACCAGAGAGACCGCAATACACGGAGTTGGAATGACCAATATTTGACTTACAACGCCGGACGGTAAGAGAAGGCAAGGACGGCTCGAGAACGCCTGGTACATTCCTGGCTTTCACACCAGTTTGATTTCTGACCTACAAATAAAGAAGAAGGGGCTCTTTTACGACGGTGAAACCGAGTATATTAGAAGAAGGGGCCCAGGCAGAGAAGTTATAGCCACGATGCAGCGAATTGACGGCTTGCTCGTCATCGAGTACAACACTCCGCCGGCGACAAACGCAGCCCTTGTATCTTCGTACACACCCAAGAAGAGCGCTGCGAACGAGGCTCTTTGGCACAAGCGACTCGACCACCCGAGCAACGAAGCTGTCAAACACCTCGAAGCAGTCTCGAATAATGTTGAAGTTATCCGTTTGAAGCAGCCAACGCCCGAAGCCGGTGACCTAAGCCAATTTGCGAGGCATGCGCAAGTTCGAAGTCGAAACGCCAAATATTTGCTTCTGCTGCTGTCATTTTGACAATATGTCAGGATTAGTCATCCTCTTGTGTCTGTAGAACTCGCAGATGGCTCATGTTCCGTTGTGGACATGGGGCATAAGGCCTTTTTGTCCCATGGTCCTGTGGTCCATGTTCCGAGAGGTTATGAGGCCCTTGTTCGATATCTAGCTGACGCTGCCAAACCAGCCAAATTTGAACACATTCGAACATATCGACCCCCCCCCTTCCTGCCAAATATGTCACATATATCGGAAACCCAGGCTTCTAATAGGCCCGATAATGATTAAACCCGTCAAGCCTACTAATTTAATTAGTCTAAAATACCTAAGATATCCGCAATCTATTTATTAGGCGGAGTACTAATATTGACGGATAAGAAAGATATAGAACGTTAGATACTATAGGTTAAGAGACTACTCCGTATTTAAAGTCTTACCTACTTTATTAATATCTTAATTATAACGCTACCGACAAACAATACCTATATATAGCTATTTAAAAGAGTAGATACCTATATCGCCTACTAGCTAACGAACTAGATATTCTATACTCTTTATAAATATATAGGGCATACAGACGTATCGCGCATCGACTTCCTCACGCCAACTGCAAAGTTCGAACAGCAGCAGGCTCAATTCAACGACCTTTTACACACGTATATTCGTTCGATGTAACGATTTAACCAATAATATCTGCTTCTGCTGCTTCCGTTTTGACAGTAGCTTAGTCAGCTTGCACCCGTATATTGGCGCTGCAAATTCTGCATGTAGCTACATCTTAGCAAGCTCAATTCGATCACTTTTTACACACGGATATTCGTTCAAATACACGTTTAACCAATCATATTCGCTTCTGCTGCTGTCATTTTGACAATATCCTTATATACCGAAAAGGGGCCGAAAACAGCCCGGCACAAACGCGAGCACCAGTCGGTTGAGTGCAGCCAGAAATTTAAAATTGATAGACAGCAATGAGTTATTGCTAAGTACAATTCTCCAACGTAGTTTAGCTATTACGGTCCTATTTTAGCCCGGATTGTGCTAGGCAGACGAGATTATATACGGCGAGCAGATTCCTATATTAGATTTTGAGTACATTAGACAAGCATGTACCCCTCCTTGGACAATCATTCCTTTGCTCTAGCTTCTATCTTCACTGGGCGCTCTTATTAGGGCTTGATAGGGTTCTTGCTTTCACTTATACTTTGGCAGAGTTCCCTTGAAATATACATTGCAGCTACTCTCTCGCATCCCTACCAGCTCTTTATGCTATCTACCAGGGTATATCAGTATCTATAGTGTAGTTGTCTCTTTCAATCCACTCTTCTCCTCATAGTAAATAAGGCTGCGCCAAAGATCATCCGCTAAAATTAGCTACATGCCAAGCATATAAGCGGCGCCTACCGACTTAGACGCGGACTTGGCTTCTTCTTGGCTTCATTCTTAGTCATATATCATGTGACTATTTGTTACTCACGTGACTATTTCATCCCTTTTCGTCCCTTTTGGGCAAAAAACAACATCGACCGAAGATTTGGTGAAGTTTTGCTTTTGCTCTTTGGCCGCGACCGAACATCTAACAACGCAAGCGTGCAGCAGAATTGCCGGGATGGATGCGGATTCAGTTCTTCTTGTCCTCGAAGGTAGGACTTGATCTGCCTTCTTGGCCGGAAAATTCCCGAGTGGCGGATGTAGATATACGAGAGAGGATGGAATCACGCCGCGTTTGGGGGGGGATGAACTTTCGCTGCCTCACACTGGATACAGGATGATAAAAGGGACGAATAACAGGTACGAGAGCCCGCTGAGCTACGCCACCCACAGAGGGCCTTCGTAAGGTCTGACCAAGATTGCACTGATACTTTTGATCCTCCAACCTTCATCTGGACATTTGTGTTATATTATCCAACTAACTAAATCCAGGGGTCAGCCCGTAACCCCCCCGGTCATCGACAAGGGACGGAGCCGATTTGCCTGCACCACCTGCACGCTCCAGACAGACGTCAAACGTGAGGTTGCACGCTGTCCCATGGCGTCAGTCAAGCACCGGTACTAAGTGGTTAGGGTATCTCGCTCTGCCAGGAATAAGCAACAATTTCAGCATGATGCCATACTTTGGGCGGAGCCGGCATCGCCGTTACGAGACAGATGCTTGACCGCGAGTGCTGAAGAGTCTGCGGAGATGGGTTGCGTTTCAGAACGCCAACGAATAAATGGCGACTCGCACACCCTGCTGGGCCCCGTTCCGTCAAATGCAATGCTACTCTGACCTGGGTAGTTATACCCACTCCCACACTCCTCCTCCGGGCTGCCCCCCTATCGTCCAGCGATGCGGCGGCATTCTCTAACCCGCCAAGCCGAGCCGGGTTATGAGGCTTGGTTAGGCAGTTGGGCTGCTGCACCCCCAAGGCCCTCGCGGAGCACCCCAGGCCCTCCTAGGGCTTTCTGGGGCATGCCAGGACAATCCCAGGCACCTTGACCTTGACCTAGCCGACGAAGGCCGCTAGATCAGAAGTACGCGGCCCCAACCGAGAAAGATGTGCAATGTTTAATTTAGGCATTCTCGCAACGGATAACATAATTCCTGACCAATGCTGGAAATTGTTTGGCTGCCATCAATTCACACCCTGGCCCATCATGTGAGCTGATTCCAGGTCGATGCCTTTATATCTGCGGGGAGTGCCATGCGACGCTCCCTCGCCTTGGTCGCCCTAAATCGTCGTATCGCGTTGACCTTGCTGAGCGAAATCCCATCAAACGCGGATGCGACACTCTCGGTCGTCTGGACAATCGGGGCTCCAACAGAGTGTAAAACCAGCATCACTGAGGCCCTAGGCACCTTTGGCTGCGGGTTTACTCCGCATTTAAAAATACACTTACCACCGTGGAGATCCGGGGCGCTCGTATCCATACCTATTCCAGAACGGCCAGACACCGCCGTCTTCCACGTTTTTTTTCCAACTGCCCAGCAAGAAAAAGGCGGACGACTTTCCCAACCCCCAACGCCAACGTCGTACACATTCCTTTTCGACCAAGAAGATTCTCTCTCGGTTCGACAACAGTCGTGGGGAGGAGGGAGGGTAGTGCGCCCGTTTTTCCCATGGGAGGATGGCGGATACAAGGGCCAGGTGAACAGACGATTTTTTGGCCTGCTACATTCGAATATACTCCGCATAGACACCTGTCTCTCCCGGGCGTTTGCAGCGCAACATGGCTTCCGGTAATCCGTCCGCGGCCGCAGCCGCGGCATGCACGCCATGCCGCACCGTGAAGATGAAGTGTACGCGAGACCCAGACTCGGCGTCCTGCAATCGCTGCAAGCGCAAGTCATTAAGCTGTTTCTACGAATCCCATCGGCGCGGTCGCAAACCAGGCACAAAGTGAGTGTTATCTTGACTCCTGCTTATGAGAGTTCAGTTTCGTCCCTTCAGCTGCGATTGATGGTGCGCATTGTTCTTTTTTATTTGCTGGGTCGGAAGAACAAGCGAATCGCTAACCGCTGTAATAACACTAACTATGCAGACTCCGGCCCAAAGCTGAACGGTTAAAGGCTGCCGGGCTCCCTGCCTTGCTCTCGAGCGCGCCGCCACCAGACACCAGCTCTGCCGTGACACCAGAAGAAGTCATCCAGACTTCAATAGACACACGCTCTCCCAAACGAATAAAGTCGGATACCAGCTTTAGCTCTCCAGACCTACCCGATAAACCAATACAGCCCGCCTTCACCTCCGAGAACCCACTGCCTACGAAGCTGGCTTCAATAACACAATTAACGCACCCTCTTTCAGATAGCCTTGCACCATTCGCCTTGCTGAAGAAGTCATCTACCCCTGGAAACTTCTCGATTGCAAATATCTTGAATGCCGAAAACGAAAGCCCGGCCGAGGAGCCATCTCGTTGGAAAGATTGTTTGGCAAACGATGCCCCCATCGACCAGAATGATCCGGTACTCCAAAATTTGATCAACCTCCCTATAGCTCAAGGCCTTTTCGATAGGTAGGCTCCCTTCGTTCCTTCGCTCATGCTAGGCTTGATGTAGTGGCTGCAGTTAGAGATCTAACATAAGCGTATGGATGGTTACAGTTTTTTCAAATACATGAACCCCTTCATATGCCAATTCGATCCTGTCCTCCATACTGTACGATATGTTCGAAATCGATCGCCGTTCCTATTCACCGCCCTCCTTAGCGTCGCTGCAAAGGTTTTCTGTCCGGCTATATATACCAAACTACACGAACATAGCGAGAAGCTCCTTCACAATATCATGGGCTCAGGCGAGAAGTCTCTAGAGATAATCCAGGGCGTCTGCCTTTTGACACATTGGAAGGAATCCAACGACACGCGTGCGTGGATGTTTATCGGATATGCCATTAGGGGAGGTTTAGAATTAGGCTTGAATAAACTTAAGCCATCTATTCTAGATAAACCAATGCAGCTTGCTTCTGGCTTTGAGGAGGAAATGGAGTTACGGGAACAACGCAGCAAGGAACGCACCTGGCTCGTGCTGTTCATTTATGATAGGAGGTACGCAACTATCCCTCCTATATTTATCGTCCCCTTTCTATTCTGTCCGTCTCCATACTAAGTACACCGTATATATAGTCTAAGTCTCCAGCTGGGCATGCCATCAATGATTACCATGGACCCTCTGATCCGAAACGTACAGAATTGGCACCAGCATGCATATGCCACCCCTGGAATCGATGAGATGGTCACGGCCCTGACCCAGTTACGCATAATCGGCTTCGAGCTACTAGATCTTTTCTGGCTTGATCCACTCCATACATCACCAGAGTTCATGAAAAAGGATGAATTCATACTTCGGTTATGCAATAATGAACTGGACAGATGGGAGGCTCGATGGCATTTGATCGTAGATGAAGGTGAGATTCATTTCAATTTGCCTCCTGTCTGCTTGGGATCAAAGCTAACGTACTTTGAAGCCGACGCGACTCTTGCCCAGCGATTCCTTGTTCGATTTTACGGCTACCATTTGAGATTACTTCTGCACTCCTTTCAACTACAGCTATCCATCGCCAATGGGTCTGCTTCTAAACCTGCGCTATGGGTGTGCTACGCGAGCTCATTAGAAATGGTCCGATTAATTATAGATCGCCTTGGGACAACTTCCTATCTATATTACTGCCAGGATTCAATTCATTTAATGGTTGCATACGCTGCTGTCGCCATTGTAAAGGTTGGTGGACTTAAAACATCTATGTACACCCCATGTTGTGACTGGCGTTGCTCACTGTTCTGCTTTAGATCCTCCTATCATTCCCCGGAGAACTCCCAGGCGAAGCGGAGAGTAAAGTACTCGACTACATACTGGAGGCAAGTGAGTATTTTGGCCGACAATCGCCGACAGACAACACTAGCTGTCACTACCAGAGCCAGTTCCTCGCGAATGTGGTTGCACAATACCGAGCCTCCAGGGCCTCCCCTGCATCTTCTGTGAAACGACCGGCTTCAAAAGAGCTCTGTGATCTGATGCAGGAGACTACAAGCGGCGCAGACGCCAAAACGCAAGTAAATCTCTCACCGATAGCTGTACCACCACTTCACCAGACGTCTCTTCCGTCGCCCTTTCAAACATCTCAGCAGCAGCAGCAACAGCAGCAACAGCAGGAGGACGGGCTCAGCCAGCCACAGCAGCCGCAACAACAACAACAACAACAACAACATCTCACGCCTCTTAATCACCATCTCCAGGTGACATCGCACCTTCAAAACGACCTATTCTCGTCCTCAAACACTCCACCGCCGATACCCATGCATATGCCGCTAAACGACCCACTGCACAACCCGCACCACGACCAGCAGACCCTCCCTTTGATCCACCCTGATCATAACCAGCAACTACTTGCATGTGCACGACCTCTGCTCCCGCCATCGAACATCGAGTGCACTATCAGCGGGTCCATAAATAGCGGCATGATGAGCTCGGGCAGGATATTTGCTTCCCCAAGTCTTCACCCATCGTCGACCCACCAAGCCAACAGCAATAACACGGGCACTATGATGGGGAGCGGTGGGACAGCATCTGCGTCAGGGATACCAGTGACGTCAAGTCCTGGCCCTGCTGGAAACGCCCCGAACAGCAGCGACAGTAACGACGGCTACGACAACTACACTCCCACCAACGCTCAGAATGTCGCACCGTTCAGCAATACCGGAACGTGGGAGAACCTATTTGCTCATGCCGGGTTTAATATCAACGGTGGAGCATTCCTGCCGAACCCTGGAAGCTCCTGAGGCGATTTCTGCATGCATATACGGTATCTCTCTCGAACCCGACTGACATACACTTCTTGGACACTTCTTACCATCCCCTAATATTCCTTGCAGTTTTGATTGCAACTGTGGACATTCTCCCCGGCTCCCTTTAGCATCTTTTTGCCTTTTTTTTGTATATAGTTATATAAACACGCCTTCGAGATGGATATAGAGAACTGTCTCCTGCAGAGACAGAGGACATTCGTTGTTAATAAGATATTGGCTTTAATCCTCGTGCATGGTATGCCCACCATGCATCGGAGACCTGCTATTTATAACACTCACTCCTGCATCTTAACTAATATAATAATATTATTATTCAATAACAAAGTATAATACACTCAGCATTCTTTTCATCCCTCTCACCGCCGAAGATCCCTGTCGATGGCCTCCGTAGGCGGAGAGTTATCGTCTCGTCC